CCCAGTGCATGATATTTGTGCACAGGCAGGGTCCCTAGGCCTGACTAGTGATCAGGGCCAATATGTGAGGCAACCAGTGGAGTGTTTGGGGAACCCCTGCTGGCACCCATCTTGGCTGGCCTGAAGCCTGCAGGTTGGTGGCAGCTCCTTATTGAGCGCCTGCTCCCTGGTGGTCTGTGCATGTCATAACGACCAGTCATTCCACCATTCGGTTGATTTGCATATTAGGATTTTATTATATAAAATTTAGTTTTAAAGTAATTTTTATTTTGGTTTGTAATTCTTATCCAAAGACATGCTTTTACTAATTTTTTAGAAAGATAAAGGACATTGATGTGAGAGTGAAGTCTATCTAACAGAAGGATATAATATTTGTAAATATTTATTCACCTAAATAAGAGCACTTAAATTTATGTAAGGCAAACATTAAAAGGTAAAAGGGAGAAATAGACAGCAATACAATATTAATAGGGACTTTAACACCCCACTTATATCAATGAATGAAGGTCATTCAGACAGAACAATAAAGAAACATCAGCCCTAAAGGACATGTTATATCAAATGAACTTAACACATTTTTATAAACATTCCATCCAAAAGCAACAGAATGTACATTTAGCATTCATAACTTCCCAGGATGTATTTTCAATCTATTCCCAGAGAGAACTATTTTGTTAGTTTGTTATGTATCCTTCCAGAATTTCTTTATGTACATCCAAGGAAATGTGAACTATATAAATATTTATATCCCCCTCATTACACAATAACATTGTGTTATATACACTGAGCTTATAGTTTTAATAATTTATCTTAGCTCTATATCTAAATTAATACACAGAGTTCCCTAATTTTTTAAACAGCTGCCTTGTCCTGTAATTTACTTAAGAAGTCATCTATTAACAGGCATTGAAGTTGAGTCCAATCTCTTGCCATTGCAAGCAATGCTGCACACAATGTTTTGCACCTGTGTGGACTCATCTATAGAATATATTTGTAGAAGTGGAATTACTAGGTAAAAGCATACAGGAATTTTTATTAATAGGTTTGGGGAGGAAGTAAGAGAAAAAGAAGCACAAAGAAAGAGCACAAATATAGAAATATATTAATAAAGCTAAATCAATGAAGAGAGTAAGTGCTTACTGACACTACTTTATCAACTCTTACACAGATTTGAAGATTATTCAAAATAAAAAGTTGGCAAAAAATTCAAATTATAACTTCAATGATCTCATTTTACATAAATGATAGAATTGACTCTCAAAGAAACAAAGTGAGTTTAATCAAAGTCTCTCTCTTTGATAAATTAAGTGCCTTGATTATGTTAATGGAATGCAAAAACAAATACATGAAACAAAAATGTTGTGTTCCTACAAAGACAAGAAGGCAAACCGGAGATTGGAAAATCCACTTGAGTGTCAGGTGCTGAGCTAACATCTTTCCTCTGCCTTTTCTGTGTCTCGAATAGCTTGGCACTATTGATATTCTGGGATGATGCTTTGTTGGGGGTTGTCTGGTGCACTGTAGGATATTAGCAGTATCATTGGTCTCTACCCACTGGATGTCAGTAGGCCTCCCCCTCTTCCTCTGTCTACACATAAATGTAAGTGGGGCTTTAGGATCCCCTGCTATTATTGCATTGTTCTCTACTTGGCTGTAAAAATAAAAAATGTCTCCAGACATTGTCCACTGGGGAGGAAGGGAAAGCAAAAAGCCTACTTTGGAGTACCACTGGTGTACAGGGCACTGACCCTCAACCCTCTAGATCAGCTTAAGCTGGAGAGACCTCCCTGAAATATAGATTTTAACTGCGAATGACTAGACTCTGGCTTTAGAGAAGCCACAGATGCCTCCCTAAACTCACTTATGTTATTACAAGTTATGGAAATTATAAACTAAGGCAACTCATCCCCTTTATTTTCATATCTAATATCTATTTAGATGAGCCATTGAATATTAATATGAATGAAGTCAGTGTTTTTTAAAATAAAGTATTATGGATGCCTAATATTGGAATCACTTTGCCAAAAGATGATGTGTTCCTATGAAATGAATAATTCTGTTAAAGACACAATTTAGAAATTCATTCTTAACATTGCTAGTTTTACTGCCCTGACCTTGGAAGATTGAGGTGAAGTGTGATTGCACTATAGGAATCTTATTACTTGCTGTCTGCAAATATTCTGAAAGACATACTCCTACGACTTGGTATTTACCTTGGACTAGCAAACTAAGAATAACTTGGTTCTATAAAAAGGAAGTGGTTAGCAGAAATTCCTGTTACATGTGAAACCACCATTTTTGCAAAGTTTCAGTTGTTGGCTTTAGGGATCTTCAGTACAGTTAACCATCTGTATCCATGGGCTCCACTCCATGGATTCAACTAAACATAGACCAAAAATACCTGGGGGAAATGCTGTGGTGTTGGTGACGTGTACGATGTAGTTAGGCGTATGATTGTGGTATCTGTACTGAGCATACACAAACTCTTGTTTCTTGTCATTATTTCCTGAACAATATACTATAACAGCTATTTACATAGCATTTACATTGTATGAGATATTATACGTGACCTAGAGATGATTTAAAGTATATGAGCGGATGTGTATAATTTGTATGCAAATACAATGCTATTTTATATGTGGGGACTTGAGCACCTGTGGATTTTGGCATCCACAGGGGGTCCTGGAATCAATCCCCTGCAGAAATCAAGGGCTGACTGTATGAGAAAACAAAACATGGTGTTTTCTGCACTTTGAGCAACTCCTCTGCAAAATTTGACTATTTCCATCGAAATTAGTCTACCACTCTACATTTCTTTTAATATGATAAACAACGTGGTGGTAATATTTGCCAAATAGTCAATATAGTTGTATTTGTTAAATGACATTCTGGAAGTCTATATTAGGCAGGTGGTATTAACCATAGGACAGCTATTGAATATGAATCTATAGGTAGATACACCATATGAGTACTAATTGGAAGAGAAAGCTATATACATTTGTCAAAATATTTCAGTATTAAGCCGAAACCGGTTTGGCTCAGCAGTAGAGCATTGGTCTGCGGACTGAAGGGTCCCAGGTTCGATTCCGGTCAGGGGCATGTACATTGGTTGCGGGCACATCCCCGGTAGGGGGTGTGCAAGAGGCAACTGGTCGATGTTTCTCTTTCATCGACGTTTCTAGCTCTCTATCTCTTTCCCTTCCTCTCTGTAAAAAAAGCAATAAAAATATATTTTAAAAAAATATTTCAGTATTAAGCAATCAAAAGCATTTCATTAAACACTGATATTCAACAATTAGTGTTGAAATCATGAACAATATAATTTAAATGGGAAAGAAAGCATAAATGGTTAGGTTTTATCTACTGTGGTTTAATGTTCATTCTATTAAAAATAATTTTGTAAATTAGTATACATTCTAATAAAGCAATCATAATGCTCAAATAAAAGTAAAATACTTATTATTCAGTCATTTAAAGACAGGCTCTCAGAGTGATGTCTGATTTCTGTAACTGTCATTCACAGTAGCCTGAACTGAGCCTGTGCTAACTTGGACAGACACAAAGCAAACTTTTGCATGTGAAAACAGAAGGAATTGATAAGTAAGCACCCTCTTCTCATGGAGACCTTGAGCTGAGCCATAGGAAGCTGATTAGATAAGTGAATACCCCAGACGGCCACCCGTCAGCTCCTTATCTAATATAAACAGTGACAAATGGGAACACTGGAAGCATATGCACTGAGAATTAGCAAAATAATGAAATAATCTCCTGCTCTCTGGACTTAGGCAAAATTGTATTTTCACAGAAAGAAATCAGGTACATTTACTAGATTATATTGATAATTATGGTTAAACCATGGGAAAATCATATGAAATACAAAACATAAAAACTGCGTAGCAGTAAAAGCAAAAGCGTCAAGCAATTCTACCCTTTCTTAAAGATCACTGACATCAATAAACCCATGAGGAAATGCACATGAACATGCTTCCAGGTACGTGTAATTTACATAAGCCAATCTTTACCTTTTGTTTCTCATGTTATACACAAAATATTTTTACTCTTATTACAAGCCGTAAGGATCAAAGCTGAAGACACCCTTCAGCTTGCAATATTATTTTGGTCTCATCATTTGAATTTGACAGTTACTACTTCTGTGATATATGACACTTGAAATATGGACTAGAGTGCTTTTGAAACTGTGTATATAAAATGCTTGTTCTGTGCTGTATTCTCAAAGTGGTTAAAAATACAAAAGCATGGCATGAATGTCCCATGTTCATGGCATTGTGTGCTTTGCCATTGGGCTTCAGAACCTTTTGCACACAGCGCTCCTGCCAGTCCTAGCAATCAGTTAGTTGACACGTAAGATAAAAACCCATCTTGCTAAAGGATAACATTGTTATAATTTCTAATATCAGTATGAACCAATAATTGGATCTTATAAGATGAAAGACCAACTTACAGAGAACCTCAGAAACATCAACTATACAGTTACAAATTTATTTTGACTAAATATGTTTAAAAAGCCCTTAAGAAACTACAAACTTTATAAAATTAATTATACTTTGTTTTATTTTTCATTGTGTTTAAATCACTGACACAGTAAGAAAGGTCAGATTTTATGATCTATATTCACACACAAAGAACAACGGGTGGGCTTTTCTGAGGATTTTTCCCTAGAGTCCAATAAAAAGGAAGCACTTTCTTACAATCAAAGATAGCATTAGGTGGAATGGAGAAACGGACTACCTTACAAAGCAGTAAGTGAGCTCATATACACGAAACCTTTATTTAAGACAATGGTCATCTGACTGGGATACAGGAGTGCATGTGCAGGTCTGAGTGAAAAGGTGGATAGATGACTTCTAAGGTCGCTTTCAACCCTAACACTCTGTTATCTGTGGCAGAGTGTCTGGATAGATTATAAATGTTATTATTCACTCCAGATACATGAGCTAATATTGTAAATTACATTCCCAACAAATTTTTATATTACTTACCTCCGCAACTTTGAGAAATTCAGACACGCGCGTCATTCTCGTTAGAAATCGTTTGTAAATTTCTAGAGCATCTTTACATTGTCCTTTCTTCATTTCAAAAAACTTTTCTAGAACAGACAGACAAGCATTTTTAAAAGAATATTATAAGTGTATATAAATACCATTACTTAAAATTGAAATTAGTGTTTGAATCAACATGGCACTAAAATCTGTAAGAAGTATTAATGAGCCTAAGCAAGGGGACCGCAGGGATTTAAAATGGTTCTTGTTCTACGGTGTCTCACAGGAAACAATAAAAATACAGTAACATGTGAATTATCAAACAGGTTAAATTCATGATCCATACCTACCAGCTTTCTGTTTTGGAAAATAGCATGGAATTCTTTGTGATAACAATCTCAAAAGTAATGAATGGCTGCATTGAACTGTATCCTTATTTCCTTACTAGCTCACTCTTAACCAATAATTTATATATCATAAAGCAATAACCTATAAACTTCCATGAATTAAACAATTCTCTAGATGTCTACACTCTGCATAAATAGATAATTCCTTTATTGGTTATAAATCATTTCTTTCAAACAATGTATGTTTTAGTTATAAGATTGTGAACTTTTGTGGAAAAACATATGGTTTACCAAACACTTCATGACTCTATAATCACGTCCCCTTTCTCAACCTGTAGCTTTCTAAACAGAAAAACAGAGAAAATTTGCTGTTCTCTTGTGTCCTCCCAAGATTGGACATCACAGTCATTATGGTACCATCACTCCATTACAACTGCAGCATGATAGCATGCTTTCTCCACACCGTTTTTGAGGAAAACTCGCTCTTTATCAGTGTTTTTGCCTGCCAGTCTTTCAGTCCATAATTACTGACACTGCAGATGCAGACATGGTAGGCCATTGTCTACAACAGCTCCCAGGCAACTCTGGATCATAACCAATGGCTTGGTGTCATCATTATTTTATATCTGCACTTGGTTAAACACATGCTATTTTTATATTCTCTCACCCTTTAAAGTTCTTGATTTCATTCAGCATGTAATTTTACTACCTCAAAGTATTTTTAATTTTCTCAAGAAAGGTTTAATAATATATAATTACACAAAGAACTAATTATTAAGGGTAGCTACTCATTACCTTCTGTTGACAGTCTTTTCGTAATTTTACTTTTAGCACAGACCACCCCTGCAGGCTATTCAAGAGAAGCAAAGGGATTGAGAAAATAAACACATACTGTTTCCTACTTATTAGGATTTGAGAAGGAAGCAAGCTTTTCAAATAAATGGTCAAAGCTAGGGATATTTTCTTTATCCATGCTGTCCTCTTTTTAGATAGGATCATGGTGCTATAAGGAAACAAGTAATTTTTGAAAAAAAGGACTTATTCTGAGAAACTATATCTTCCTTTTTTCTTATTATACAATCTTCATATAAACAATTCCTTCAAAATATATAAATTACTTTTATTATAATCTGTCTACTTCTTTGCATTGGGTCTTTAGCAATAACACAAAAAGAAAAAGAAAACAAAATAATCTCAATTTCCTTTTAAAACCAATGCCTCAAAATTTTAAGCAAATTTTCTATGCTTCCTTTGGATGCTTTTAAAATTGCCTCTATCATGGTAATTTAGGATTCATCAACAAAAGAGATTCAATCATCACGGCTTTAGGTCATAAGCCCACAACTATTTCTATAACCATGGTAATGACGATGAAAGGCAACGTGCACTGACATATGCAAAATTGTGAGGGTTCCCTGTCCCCTTAGAAACCAGAAAAGGCTCCAGAGAAATCAACATGTTTAACAGAAGGTATGCGTCACCCAGAAATGAGCCTCTGTTTTTCTTTCATATTAAAGCTAACATATTATATATTGGTTTTCAGTATTTGAAAAGATCAAATTCTACATTCATCACATAAATGTCTGTAAATAAAGTACTGATAAATCCCCTGTCATGTTAGTATTCCCTTTCACAAGTAACTGTCCTAGGAAAAAAGCCACATGAAAAGGAATCTCATCCCTGAAAGACAAACCAATGTGGACGTGGACATCAGTCAGGAAGGGAAGCATCTTCTAACTTGAATATCAGAGTGTCAATATAGATTGAATGTTTGTGAAGGTTTCTGGCACCAATATTGATTTCAACATTAGATGCCGAGAATTGGTCATGAGGTCCTTGATTAAAACGAACCCATAGCCGAAACCGGTTTGGCTCAGTGGATAGAGCGTCGGCCTGCGGACTGAAGGGTCCTGGGTTTGATTCTGGTCAAGGGCACGTACCTTGGTTGCGGGCACATTCCCAGTAGGGGGTGTGCAGGAGGCAGCTGGTCGATGTTTCTCTCTCATCGATGTTTCTAACTCTCTGTTCCTCTCAATTCCTCTCTGTATAAAATCAATAAAATATATATTAAAAAAAAACAATCCATAATATATTTAAGTTAATTCCTAGCATTACGTAGTAAACAGAAAACATATCTGTCTGGAAACACTTAGGATTCTAAACATGCCTATATTCTAAAGTATTATTTTCACAAGAGCCATTTGTCAATGCCGAACGAAGACCACTCACACCAGAATGTTGTTGGGCAAGAATACTAGTATACTCCCCTACCACTTTGGAAGAGTCGGGTCTTGAATATGAAAAGGTGTAACTCTCCTCCTTTTCTGCTCCTAATTATGGTGAATAGACTGTCTTTTTCAAATTCGATGAAATAAAAATATGTACCAAATGGTTATTGTTTTAATAAAAAGGAAAAAATGCATTCTTACTACAATCAATCAGTGAATTCAACATAAAGGGAAAGTAGAGCAAAATTTAAGTAGCTGTTTAAGACAACAATAGAGGAGGATCACAATTAACATGTTCAATTGTCACATGAACTGTAAGAGGCATTATATCGAATGTTCTTCAAGCAGAAGTGGGAATGAAACACGGGTCCGCTGGTGAGAGAGGATGAGAATGAGTCAACTGGGTTGTGGATTTGAGTAAGATGAGCAACTGACTGCCGAAGCTGGTTTGGCTCAGTGATAGAGCGTCGGTCTGCGGACTGAAAGGTCCCAGGTTCGATTCCAGTCAAGGGCATGTACATTGGTTGTGGGCACATCCCCGGTGGGGGGTGTGCAGGAGGCAGCTGGTCGGTGTTTCTCTCTCATCGATGTTTCTAGCTCTCTATCCCCCTTCCTTCCTCTCTGTGAAAAATCAATAAAGTATATTAAAAAAAAAAAAGATGAGCAACTGAGGTTTTATATTTAAAAGTCTAATTATAAATAAACAGGAACAAGGAGATTAGGAAGGGTAAATTCAAGAGTTCAGTTTTAGGTCTTGTTGAGTGTTAGGTAAGAACACAATATCTAAATTTAAGTGTCTACAAATAAGAAGACATGTAAAACTAAAGCTCAGAATAAAGGTAAGAACCAACATACTAGATTTGGGACTCATCATAATGGAGATAATAGCTTTTCCAATGAAGAACACACAGAGCCAGGACCGGTTTGGCTCAATGGATAGAGCGTTGGCTTGGGGACTGAAGGGTCCCGGGTTCGATTCCGGTCAAGGGCATGTACCTTGGTTGCGGGCATATACCCAGTAGGGGGTGTGCAAGAGGCAGCTGATCGATGACTCTCTCTCATCAATGTTTCTAACTCTCTATCTCTCTCCCTTCCTCTCTGTACAAAATCAATAATATATATATATAAAGAACACACAGAAACAGCAGACTGGTAAATAGCTAGAAAGAAACTTTAGCAAAAGCTCACATTTATGAGTAGTAAGGAAGAGTAAGATCAGCTAGCAAAAGAGAAATGGGAAAACATATCTTATTTGGTTTACAGATAAATTCTCCCACCTGAAATAAAGGCAGTATGGTTTTGAACTGCAATTATGGGCAGGAATCTTTCCATAGTTAAGGCAATATATCTAAGAGCCCTGTATTCGATGTTGGGATTGGCTCATCCAGCCCTCATTCTTTTGTTTTCTAGACTGATAAGCCAGGGTTCTGCAAATTACACCTGTGGGAGGCCTAGAAGGTGAAATTGAGGCAGAGCCATATTTATTGTACCTTTACACCTGTTTCTTACAAGTGATAAAACCCTGGAAGTATGAGTTTATCTTTCAGCAGCAGTGCACTGTCTGCCATCCACCTTAGGGGTTTTGAGGAGTAATTGTTATGATTGCAGCCACTCGACATGACTCCCTAATCCTTGGAGTATAGCTTCAGGCGTCCATTCTTCTGCTTTCTAGGGCTGCCAGGCAGTTGGGGTGGTAGCAGCAGCGACTTTCTTTGAGCGCATCTTAAAGTGATGGCCTTAGCAGTAGCTCCCCTAGATTCAGTAGTCATCTCATGAGGCTAACACCAGTTCCTGCAAGCTTCCAATAATTACATAACTACCTAACTCCCTGAATTAAATCTCTTCTTATTTACAGCATGTAGGGTACTTTCTGTTTCTAGAATAGGTATAGTGTTTAATAAATGAAGTGGCTGTAGAAATCAGACCCTCAAAAATGTTAAAGATGGGAATCTTGGATTAGATATGCAACTTGATTGGCTTTAATGGCAGCAATGTCCACTGGCAACTATTGAAAAATTAGATTCTCATAGGCTGGGCTGCATAGGAGAAAAATTATTACTTAAATGATCACCTATGGTTTTCTGAAATGAGCACCCAGAATTAAGCTTATTAGAGCGAGCAGCTGCTGGGATAGAGACCACTGGTGGGAACAAGGCAAACACAACTGTAGGGTGAGGGGCTGCTTCTGACTCTCCTAAAGAGCTTACAAAGGAAAATGACAGCTCAGGATTTTAAATTATGGATGCAAGGTTCCATTCAGACCATGATACTTCAAGCTGGCCTAAAATAACCTTATCTCTTGCAGACACAGGGCTGTCAGAGCTGAACGTCAGATGAGTGTCTAATTCTGTGAGTTGCTGAATTATAACATATGTGGGTAAGCTATATTTCCAGTCTCATCATGGTGTCCTTTGTGAAAATGAGGGATTTTAATAGAAAAGTGAAAACAAAACAAAGCACTTGGTTAGATTCATCCAAAAATGAATCTATCCTTGCTGGAAAAAGCTTTTCCTTCTGAGTCAGAAGAAGCTGGTCCTGCCTTGCTTAGAGATCCTATAATCAACCCCTTTCATCAGAGAATGAAGATTCTCCTCATACCCTATCCTTCTACTTCTTATTCCTTTTCTTTTGTCAACTGCCTTAATAGAATGAAATTAGAATCCAGCAAATCCTGCGTGTCCCAGGGAGATAAGCACAAAGTTGGACCCAGGAGGCAAAAACACACATGCTCCAAGAAGTACAAGAGTTTGTAGATTTATGTTGGCAGGATGATTGCCAGACAAAATGAAAGATACCGACTTAAATTTAAATGGTAAATAACATAATGTTTAGCATGAGCATGTCCCAAATATTGCATGGTACTTATTAATACAAAAAGAGTCATTCATGTTGATCTGAATACAAATTTAATGAGGCATTTGCATTTCCCCCCCCCTCCTGAATCTGCCAATTCTAATTGATAAAAATCGAGAGAACTGGAATGAATTCAAAAGGTCTGAGCAGGAAAGAAGAAATGTTACATTAGAGTGAATAACATCATGGATAACACTGATTTGGGTGAGCATACAAAACACGTGGATTCAAAATGTGACCTGAACATTCTATATTGGTCCTTCTTGCCCTTTTGGCCGAGAAGGACCCTCTTCTCACAATCCAATTGCCCACAGCTGTTGCCTGAGCTTTCTGTTCATACTGAGGTTGAAGCCTCGTGTGGCTGGTACCATGAACCTGCCTCTCACCAAGTGGAGTGAGCTGGGCCCTCCCTGGAGAAGAAACCTGGGTTCCCTAAGATATGTGATCAGTGCCCGGCCCCACCAGCAGGTGAGGGGATACCAAGGCAGGTGCTGGGCATGGAGGCCATGGGGGCATAGGCTAACAAAGAGACATAACTGAATCTTGCATCACTCTGCTTGGCCCTGGAGGATGGCTGGTTAGCCAGAGTCAGGAAAGATTCCTCAGGGGAGGAACAACCTAAGACAGGCACAGTCGCAGAGGGACTATCAGGAGAGAACTTGGGGATCAACAGAGGTGGGGCACAGACCCTCACCCCTCCAACTATGCAGAGCCTGAACCCTCACCCCTTCTGAGGGAGGACTCCTATCCCCATGGCTGCTTCCCTTCCCATGCCCAGCTCAAATCGGGACCCAGGGAACAGACAGAGACTTGGCCGACAGCAGCTGCTCTCTCACTTCCAAAAGACTCCTAATATTTAAATTTTAAAAAAGGGAGGATAATAGAAGAATATCTATCTAACTGAGGGGCAATAGAACTTAAGCTTGTTTACAGATGGTTCCTCATGCTGGCACTAGTTGGAAGTAGTTTGCTGAATCATTATATCCCCACAGAGGGGTGACCTTGACAGGGAAAGAAATCTTTTACTGCAGGGAAAGCTTTAAGCAGTATATCTATCTGATTTTTTACTTTATGTCAAAGGAAATATGAGGATACATATGGAAATATACAAAAATATTTGCAGTAACTAACTGCTGACCTGTTTTACCAGAGACTTAAAAAAAATAAAATGGAAAGATTAGTGACAAGAGATCTGGACAACAGGTAGTAGATGGACCACTCAGAATGAATGAAGATCATGAGACTATTTCTATCCCATGCAGGCCAAAGGCAACCAAAATACTCTTAGTAATCAGGTGGTAAGGGGACTCCATAGACTGATGAACAAAGTGCCACTGCTCAATCTTCAGTCTGCCAATACCCAAGATCAATGCTGGGCTTCCCCTTGGCACCATACTCCAGGGAGAATGGAGTCATCCACAAAGTAATAGGATAAGCATGGATTCCTAGGGATGAGAGCAGTAATTCCTCTATACCATCACAGACGGTTTATCCTGTATATGGATCTATCATCTCTGCCCATATTGCTCTGCCAGCACCACCATCTGTGAAATTACTCACCATCATCGTATCTCACACAACACTGCCTCTATTTTTACTGCACACGAAATGAAACAGACTCCACAGAATCCATCAGTCTTAACATGAATCCCATCCATCCAGAAGTGGCTGGGTTTACATAAGGATGGGATGGCTGGCAGAAGAATCCATTTCTAACCTACTCTAGGAATATACCTTAAGAAGCTGGGGATTGTAGTGTACACTCCGAACCATTGATCACTACACAGGTCCAGGAACCTGGGTGCTAGACTGGCCCCTCTCACTATTGCACCGACTGAGGTGGCAGTGGCTGCTTGTTTCCTGTACATCTCCAGGGATGGCATCACAGGGAGGTTTTTTTTAGCAGAAGGGAGCAGTTATTTATCATTATGGGATTTGTTCTGAGAGGCAAACCTTATAACATACTCCCTTCGTCATTTTGAAATTTTGTAAGCTCCAAAATCCTCTTATGGAATCCCTTCCTGCCTAAAACATCTAGACTATTTCCTGTTTCCTGAGCTGAATCCTTAGATGTAAGAATTCTCAGGGGAATGTGACCAGAATAAATGGCATATTTAGATTTTCATGTATGAGGTCTGTGGTATCCAAATCTCTGCATCTGATACAGTCTTTATTCAAACATCATTCAGTAGTCTACTTACCAAGTAGGTTAATAACGCCATCATTGTAGCAAGCAAAAAGTTTGATAAGATCTTTGAAAAGAAGCATAAATGCAGCATTTATAACACCATTTGTTAGCTCATTTGGATGCACCTAGAAGAAAATGAGAAGTTAATATGTTAAATTGTATCATCAATTGACAATTTTTCTCAGAGCTTATTAAAGTGTCTCAAATGATTACTAAGAAATTCACATCCCTATTTTACAAATGTTGTGTAATTCTCTCAGTAACCCTACCAATATCAAAAGATGGATCACATTTTTCTTGCTTTGAGTCAATGAAGTTAGTCCTATCAATTACAAGGCATACATATACTCTATTTGATCAGTAATCCATAAATGGATCATATCCACCTTTTGCACATCTGGTCTTTTGTTGCTTTTACATTCTTTTATTACATTCTTCCACCTCCCCTATATATGTTCTCTGTGTGAGGGTTCAGGTTCCAGGGCCTGCAGTAACTCAGCGAGGAAGCACAGCGTGGGAAATAGATACCTTATCAGCAACCCCTAAAGCAATTCTTGAGAATCATAGCATTTACTCATCCACCAAATACTCTCACCACCAAATAAAGAAGAATAATTTCTCCTCATTCCCAAATCCTCTGGTGTGTGTGTGTGTGTCTGTGTGTGTGTGTGTGTGTGTGTGTGTGTGTGTGTTTCACCTTTATAACTTTTCTCCTAAGGACAGTATTATCGAAGGGAAGAAAAGCAAAGAAAAATAAATGTTCAAAAAGAGAAAAAGATAAGCAATAGTTTGCTGCGTTTACTGAAATGTCACAGAAATTGGGGATTGTGACCAGGATGCAACTGTAAAGTAAATCATATTGTTGTAACAGAAATTTTAAATTATTAATATCTGAGGAAAATAGTTTTAAACAACCACCAAAAAAAAGAAAAGCTAATAATGTGAGTTAAGAATCTTACTACATGTTAGAATACTTTATTTTCATGAATTAAATGTTCATTTAATTAAACTTCTTATTTTGAAATAACTATAAATCCATATGCAGTTGTAAAAAATAGAGATTCCCAGGTACCATTCACCCAGTTTCTGGTAACATTACAACACTACAGCATAATACCACAGCCAGGATATTGGTATTGATACAATCCACAAATCTTATCCGTATTTCCCCAATTTTATTTGTGTTCCAGTGTGTGTGTACGTTTAGTTCTATATAATCTTACCACAGCCAATACATAGGAATGGTTTCAGAGAATAGCCAAGAAGAAGGACCAGGACAAAACAGAGATAATTCTCTTTGGTGGGTGTGTCATTTAGATGGTCTGTATAAAGTGGCTTCTAACAGCAGGCGGAGCCAACTGCCTGCAGGTACATTTTGCACTACATTCTGTCAAAGACAACAGGAAACAGCCATCCTCCTCCAAACCTGGGGTTCCAAGAATGCATCCCTCACATTTTCCCAAGACTTAGGAAATAACTGGTAAACTGCTGGGACGATCTGCACAAGCATCTCCATTGCACTAACAGCTTCAACGAAGGGCCTAGCTAAGGTAAATGAGGGAGATCTCAATCTGCTTCCAGCTTTACCTGCAGCCCACCTTCAATGAAAGACAATCCTGACTGTGGGAGAAACACCTGCCAGTGAGATACGTACGTCAAATTCCAACAGTGCATCGATCTGTCCCTGCAGTATTGGCATACTCTTTAGTAGCTTTTCTGGAACCATTGTTCTCATTACACCATCAGCCCTACAGGTGTTTAAAAAGAGAAAAAGAGGAAACGTCCTTGTACATGAAAAATTCAAGACCACAGACGTTGTTCTAAGCTGTTTCCCCCGCTGTTTCCTTGTTAACCAGGTGGAATCTTTTGAGACATGAAGAGGCTGTAGTTGACCCCGCTCTCTGCACTACTTCCTCTTATCCATTCTTATTCTTCAACACACAGGCAGCAAAGGAAGAGAGCCATGTGGACTGCAAATTTAGAAGCCAGTTGAATTTCTAAATGGATTCTTTTAAATATTTAACCTAGATAATAGTATTCAAAATATAAGTTTCCTAAATGCCAGTTTGTTTGGTTTCTGAGACAGAGAGAAAACATGTCATGGAAGTCTTCAAATCCTGTAGGCCTGGGAGTCCAGATGTCAGACTATGAACCATCAGTGGAGAAAAATGCATGCTGACAGGCACAGTTTGGCCAAAAAGAGGTAAGTGTTTCACTCGCCACGCAGAATGAAACTGGAGGTGAGTGCCAGAGGGTGCCTCAGAGCAGGCAATGAACCCTGGACCCACCGCTGATGGAGCCCCTGTGAAGCCCCTGCATCCAGGGATGGTCAAGCAGTGGCAGTCCTACAATGAATGAGGAAAATGTGATGTGAACAGGCTGATGATGGCAATTATTTTCAAGGTCTTTCTCACTTCAATGGTAGGAAAAGTATCCCAAAGTGTCCTGATGTGCATAAAAGGGTGCAGAAGTTTCTGAGAAGGTGTGGACTTGTGGTGGAGAGGCCACAACTCATTTGAGGACATCAACAATGATTGCCCACGGCCATGTTAGCAGGCACAGGAAGGTGCATGGACTAGAATCATCTCCAACACGAAAGGGTTGAAGTAAGAATCTTCATTTTATAGATGTTCACTCACAAGAAACTAACTTATTTTGAATAAGCAAGCTTATTATTGTTCATCAACATGATTTTAAAAGTTCAAAGCTAAGGCTGGGCAAGCTATTAGAAGAATAGAGTTAAATCTTTTTGTGTGGTTCCCTGAAACTAAAATATTAAACCTTCTACAATACCTTGTCATTTTTTCAGGTTAGAAAAATATCACAAGATTTACACAAATTTTTGACTGAATATTTTGAATTAAACACAACATCTATTTAGAAGGAAATAAATGTTAATTAATAATTAAAATGTGTTTGTTTCAATGAGACTTTCTTTTTTTTAAAAAATATTTTATTGATTTTTCACAGAGAGGAAAGGAAAGGGATAGAGAGCTAGAAACGTCGATGAGAGAGAAACATTGACCAGCTGCCTCCTGCACTCCCCCCACTGCGGATGTGCCCACAACCAAGGTACATGCCCTTGACCGGAATCGAACCTGGGACCTTTCAGTCCGCAGGCCGATGCTCTATCCACTGAGCCAGACCGGTTTCGGCAATGAGACTTTCTTAATCAACAACTAGTATTAATAATTAGTTCAATTATGGTCGGTGTGTAATACCAGAGCGGTATTACTTCTCAAAAAGAGATCTCCACCGTGCACATAGTTCAGTTTAATCTCAATCAAAACACATTGAAATAAGTATTGTCAACTTCAGTCACTGCTCTTTTAAATATACTTTGTTTAAATTCTTTCCATTTAAAATTAAATATATATATATATGGATTTTGAATTGATTTTAATAAACGAAATGTTATGCCAGAGCATCATGTCAGATTTTATGCATGATATATAAAGCAATGCATATTACAACCTCAAGCTAACTTCTATAATATTATTGAGTTTCTTTTTCAAGCGTTTGTAAACAGGGTCTTCATAATGAAAATTAATTAAAATAAATTAAGTATGCTTTCAAAAACTTTTTTGCTCAAATAAATAGGAGAAAGAAACAACATACCCTTTCTTCACCCTGGCAAAATCAAACGCCATTTGTCTGTAAGAGAAAGCCTTTTCATTTAAGTATCTACTATAGCGCCTTATGAAGGTAGACATATCATAACCTGGGGAAGGAGCGGAAAAAATAAAATAATTAATAAAATATCTTCAATTGTGCTTTGCTTAGTACCAATTTCTTTTAACTCCCCAGTGTAAATAATTCTAGGATGAGTTCAGTAAGTGTATCAGACAAGCCTCATTTAAAACACTACTGCAGTCTACGGCCATACCACCCTGAACGTGCCCGGTCTCGTCTAAAATACTACTGCAGGCAAAAGTGCTTTTGCCATGAGACATTCCAAGACTAATCAGTTTAGTTATGCTATCACCCTTAAACAGAATGTCTATTCTGATTTTTCCTTGCAGTTTTGTTCACTGTTTCAAATAATAGCATGTTTTAGACTTAATATGTGCAACTCTGAGAACTCTCCACTTATAAGTAGAGATATAAGTGTCCCTGCCTTATATGTAATAGCAACCAACAAGTATGATGAATGAACAGATGAATGCCATTTGAGTTCTATTCATTTATAAAAAACACTCCTTCAGGACTGTTACCTGTTTTTTAAATTGGGAAAGTACCTTTCATTTCACTGGTTCTTGTACCATTATAAACAAACAACTGTAGGTCTAGCACAACTACTGTTACTATTTAAGGTAAACACTAGAAAGACAAAAATAAAATTTACATAATTTACATGCTGAGTTATTTTAACAATGAGATATTTAAAAACTAGTATAAACTTCCTATATTCAGGGTGTCCCATAATTATTCACTCAAAGTGTACATATACTTTGGGTTAAATGTGAAAAGAAAGAAATACCAATTGAGCTATCAAAAAATGTATGTACATCCTATACTTTTCATTTTTTCTTAAACACACAGTTATAATGATTTTGTAATAATAATTTCATTTCAAAAATAAAAATAGACACAATAAACATTAGCAAAAAAAAGATAAGACATAAATATTCTCACCATGGGATCCACTTTTGTCCAAAAAATTGCTGAGATTGAATAGTGTATTTCTAGAGGCCAAATATTGAATAAATCTCTGAAAAACAAAAATTAGAATCAAACACCAATGTTCTCAAATCATATTTTAAATAATTTCTGATACTAAAGGGAATTTTTACTTTTACAAATTGTCACTCTTTTCTTTCACTCAGTTATAAATCTTCCCAGTCTCCTGACTTTCTCTGAAGTAGGGAAAGGCCTGAATAATACTGAGTTAGAACTAAATTGTATGATTTTTCATTTCTATATATTTTAGAAACACTATAATTTAATAAGATTCAGTATGCATCCTATACAAAGTGGGAAATATTTTCCAAAATTAAACATGTTTATGAAAGCAAGTTTCACTTAAAGGCATAAAGGAATAATTCCTATGGAAAAAAATAATTGTTCCTTTTCCCTAACATTTTTGCCCACTAATACATTGACATGGTAAATACATTTAGATACCAGTGATACTGAATACTTAGATATCTCTAATAAAATGTCTAACCACATTTACTTTTTGAAAAATAGCAAAATGGAAGATTAAAATTGTGTTCTAGAAGAATGTGAACCAAGATTTCCTCTTCTTTTTCTGCTAATTAGTGAAAACCCAAAGGGCCTTGAGTCATCATCATCCTCTTCCACCAAAGCCTCATCCCCCACCAAAAACAGACACGTTTACTCAGTTTACCTCATTTCCATGCACCATGAGATGATGTGTTGTGACTAAAGCTTTAAATACAACCACCCAGCTACTGTTCGTTGCTCGCTCAAAGAGCGTGTCGGCCATCTGAGGAATATTGACGTTGGTCTCATTGGTAGCCTGGATCAAATCTATGAACATAGAGAAGATATCAGTCAATTATATTTGTCATTACATACAAAAATGCATTTCAAATGTTAAACATTTAAACCTGTTCACTAAAATGAATTAAAATTGCTTTGAAAATAGTTAATAAAATTTTAAAAAGTTAAACTGTATTATTTTTACACATATATTTATGTGTTTTTTCTTGAGCTTATTTTTTTTTCTATTGAATCCTCTTCTAAGTTTTATGTGTTTTCTATTACCAATGTCATTTTTTAAAAGTACATACTCCAGAGAGCTAAGCCTCCTATTAATCATCTTTGTTATCCCTCTAAGCATAATTGTCTCAGACATGTGGGCACTTACTCTATGCATCATTTGAACTCAATAACACAAATGTATTTTTTGAAACACAAGAGCTAAAAGCATATTTCACTTGGGTTTTAATTTTGATGGATGTTAATAAATACATTTGTCACATAAGTGTCAGAATGAGAGCAAATAGTGAAAGAATTTTACTACGCCCATCTAAGCTTTCAAAGAACATCATGCATGCATTAAATCTCTATAATTTGACTCTAGTTTTTAAGAGAGTAAAACTTTATAATAAATTCACTATCCTACATATTATCAGTATGATTCCAGGTCAATCTCAGGGGAAATTTTTTTCTTTTACAGTGGCCAAGAGGCGCTGCCCAGCATTTAGAAAACATGGTGAGTATTGTCAAAAAGCTAGCAGAGGCAACCCAAGATCACAGATTTACAAAAGGAATCTAAGCCACACCGGGGCAATGAGAAATGAAGAGGAAACACCTTAGACTTCTTTTGCACCATTCAGAGAACTGCATGATTCCTGTTTCCTAGGAAATCCCATGCAACCAACACAGAGGCAAACCCATGCTTTTCTTTACTTAAAATCACACTCAGTAATCATCGAGCTATGTATTTGTTTTATGTACTTCTCTATTTTATCATAAGTACAGTTTCAAAAAGTTGATATTCCATCACTGAAGTAGCTATTAATTTCTTAAAGCATATCGATAACTGATCTGAGTTTCAAGTGGACCAAACCAGGCTTATTTTTTTTAATACATATATTTTATTGATTTTTTACAGAGAGGAAGGGAGAGAGATAGAAAACTAGAAACATCGATGAGAGAGAAACATCGACCAGTTGCCTCCTGCAAACCCCTCACCGGGGATGTGCCTGCAACCAATGCACATGCCCTTGACCGGAATCGAACCCGGGACCCCCTAGTCTGCAGACTGATGCTCTACCACTGAGCCAAACCGGTTTCGGCAGCAAGCAGGCTTATTTCTGACTTTATTTTAAATTCCATTCATCATCCCTGTCCCCTTACTTAATGCCCCTCCCTCAACATTTTCCTTTATTGGAATTCTACTCATCCTTCAAGAAATCTTTCCTGGTCCCTTGTAAATGTAGCCCCCTGTGACCTCTCTCTGTTTTAAAACTTGAAGTGCTTTGTTCTTGCTGGGTGTTCAGATTTGATGCGTAATCATCCCAAGTTCCTGACATATCAAAGCTCCTGGAAGATGGACACAGTCATGCCAACATCTTGTCTCCTGTGCAGCACTTCACAGAACACAATGCACGGTAAACATCAGCTGAACAAAATGTATAAAAGCTATACTTTAGCCGCAAATATAAATATAAGCAGTTCTTTGAAAAAGAAAAATCACTATGCTCTCACACTGTTTTCTGAGACAATATCATGGGACTAATTGAAATTCTGTTCCAGTCATAAATTTTTCTGTTCATTTATTTACTGAACTGGGCTCAGGGAATACAGAAATGCACTGCTGGTCTGAGGAGACAGAAGCATGATCAGATAACAGAGGAGCCCCTCTAAGAGATGAGTAAAGAGAGGCAAAATAATAGAGCAGAAAGAGCCCTGGGCCAGAGCCCTGCTCAGCCCCGGCCTAGGTGTGTAACTCTTGGCAAATTAATATCCCTTTGACTCAGCTCCTCATCTTTTAAATTGGGTTAATAATTACTGCTTTTCGGGGCTATTGCAAGTGGTCTGAACAAAGTAGGTGCCCAAAATAAATGTTTGTAAATATTGTTACACGTACACTGCAATATAAAAATGCAGTGAGATAGTAGAAAAGATCCCATAGGAAGGACCCTAAACTCAGCTATGACCTGCAATAGGAATGAGAAGTACATTTTTAGCAAATTTGCAAAGTGTGGAGCCACAAGAGGTGCTTTATCCTTGGACAAATGTGGGGGGTCTCAGCGCTAGGTGTGGGCAGGTGGTGGGAAGAAACTTAACTAAAGATTGAGGGAATGGCAGGTGAGGGATCTCACACATGACATTAAAGAGTTTGGATTTCACCCTATGGACTAAGGGGACTCTTGGGAAAGTACCAATAAAATTTCACTTTTCGAGTCAACCACGTTATTCAGCGACGACTAAATACTATCTGAAAAGTAAGCACAGGATGAGGAATAATCATCTTTGCCTGGAGATACTAGAAGACATAAAAGTGGCAAGTTGAAAAGCCCGGTTGAGAATCAGATGAGGTGAGCTTACACTAAACTAGTAGTGGAGATAGGGAGAGATATGAATGGGGAAAGATATTTATGAGGCACCACTGACAGGATTTGCAGGTGAGTAAACGGATATGAAGAGGTGAAGGGAAAAGAAATCCTGAACAAGTTTAGGTTTCTGGTTTGAAGTCCAGTTAATGCTTTTCACTGAAATTGAAAGAGAGTTGTTTCAAAGGAGATGTGAACTACAAGAGGCCTGGTATATGAAATTAATGCATGGGTGTGTGTGTGGGGGGGGGGGGGCCTCAGCCCAGCCTGCACCCTGGAATCCCTCTCATAATCCTGGACGACTGGCTCCTAACTGCTTGCCTGCCTGCCTGCCTGATCACCCCTAACTGCCCTCTTCTGCCTGCCTGATCACCTCTAACTGCCCTCCCCTGCCAGCCTGATTGCCCCCAACTGCCCTTCCCTGCTGGCCTACTAGCCCCAACTGCCCTCTTCTGCTGGTTTGATCACCTCCAACTGCCCCCTTCTGCTGGCCTGATCGCCTCCAACTATCCTCTCCTGTTGGCCTGATCACCTCCTAACTGCCCTCCTCTGCAGGCCTGATTGCCCCTAACTGCTCTCTCCTGCTGGCTTGATCTTGCCCCTAACTGCCTCTGCCTTGGCCCCTGACACCATGGCTTTGTCTGGAAGGAAGTCGTACGTCCGGAAGATATCCAGAAGATATCTGGTCTAATTAGCATATTACTCTTTTATTAGTATAGATTTTGGACATGATATATTTGAAATAGTTGCTGGAGATCTAAATGGATTTTAACATGACAGTATAAATGTTCACTGACATGGTTTCAGATTCAACATTCCAATTTAAATTTAAGAAACTACCACTTGGAGAGTTGTGGTGTAGTATCAAGAATGTCCTGAAAAGGCTATTAAAATGGTTCTCTCTTGGGGCGGAGCTTGAAGATGGCGACCGAACAGTCGGACCTATTCTGACTCTGGTCCCAGAACGGATAAAGGGGGCTTCTGAGTCGCTCAGGGAGAGTTGATTGGCAGCTAAGGGACAGCGGAGCTCTCAAGGAGGGTAAGGGAGAGTCCGCTGGACAGGATTTCCTGACCAAGTGGCCAGGACGGCCGCGGCAGCAGCAGCAGCAGCAGCAGCAGCAGCAGCAGCAGCAGCGGCGGGGGCAGCGGAGGCAGCGTGCGGTGGGCTGCGGGCGTGGAGGAAGGGCTGCATTGTCTTGCCAGGAAGGAAAGAGCTTCTCTGAGGCGTGGAAAACGCACAGCCCGGAGGTCCATCGAGCAGCTGAGACTCCCAGAGCTGCGCAGACACGTGGATTCCGGGGAGATCTTCAGTCACCCACGGAAAGGTCAGAGTTTGCGGGGATAGCCTAAGGGATCTGGGTTCCGCGGCGGCGAGCTCCGGCCCCGCCTCCACTACGGCAGCCGGGGAGCTCCGGCCCGCCTCTGCTACGGTAGCCGGGGAGCTCCAGCCCTGCCTCCACTGTAGACGGGTGCGCGAACTACGGCCCGCGGAGGCGGAGCGGAGCCCAGAGAAGGCTACAGCGACACCTAGTGCTGGGTTTGAAGTAATCCCCCCCAGAAGAGGGGCTTTTTTAAAACGCCAGGGGACAAGGGACAGTGTGTTAAGAATAGCGGCTGTCCCGCCAAGGGCGGAACATCTGGACACCTTGGCACCGGTTCCCATTCATCCCCTTGCTTCTGAATACTAGAGAAGAACTGCCCAGTTGGGCATAGCCGGGGAAATTGTAGGGGGAATTTGCCTTCTGGAAACAAGGGATTGGAGCCAGAAGACATAGTCCTGGAGCCAGCTAGAGCCATAGAGAAAGAAGGCCAGAGCAACCAAAAAGACTGGGAGGTCAAACCGGAAACACTGACACCTAAGAGCCGAATTACAAACTGCCTTTTTTTTTTTTCTTTTTCTTTTTTTTCTTTATTTTTTTTTTTTTCTCTTTTTTCTTTTTATTAATCAAAAATAAACGGACACAAATAACTAAGATATAACCTGCTTAAAATTAAGGTTTACCTTACAAAACTCAGGTGCAGTGGAATGCTGGGGACTGCAAGACTGTCTGGTCTGAGAATCAGGAGTGCCAAATACATTAACAGAGGAAGTGAATGACCACTACTGGACATTTTTATGCTAATTTTACTATTCTTTATCTTATTTTCATTTTTTACATCTTTTATTTAATTTTCACTTTTTATAGCATTTACTTAAGAAAAATTTTTTCTATTTTTTTCCTTACTTCATTTTACCTTTTCAATTATTACATTTTTCAATCTTTATCATCACTATTACTACTGCTATTTTGCAATTTTTGTTTCTTTCCTTTTTTTTTTTTTTTTTTTTTTTTTTTTTTGTTCTTTGTTTTTTCTTGTTTGTTTGTTTGTTTGTTTGTCTGTTTGTTTCCTCTCCAGTACCATTTTATTTTATTTTTTTTCTGTATTTTACATTGGGAATAACCTCCATTCTATTTTAATCACTAC